GTGGTTGAGCCGGTGGTTGCCTAGGTGTTGATCTAGTTGTTCAGGAGGTTTCTCAGGAGGCTGTTGAGGAGGTTGCTCAAGAATTGATTGTTGGTGAGTCGGGCCCATAAGTTACTGTTGAGACAGAGGTTACTGTGAAGGCAAAGCCTCATATATAGAGATGCTTGTTTCGATGATGTCAAAACGTATCTCCATAGAAGAATATATGTCGAACGTTATCACCATGATTGCATTTGCATATCTTGCTTCTCATGATTCATTGCTCGCATAAAAGTATCTCGGTTGTTGCATATAAAATGTCAAAATGTGTGTTATATGAGTTAGACTTCATTGGTGTCGTGTGCCATATCATAGATGTCATTAAAAAGAGTCAAGAGTATGAAAATAGGCATCTTTAGCAATTTTAGATCTTTGAGTCGACCAAAATTCTGTTCCGGTCGACTCACACTGTGAGTCATTTTTTAGAGTTTGCTTCAGGTGTGCTCGCGTCGACCTACTGGTCGACTCATACTGTTGGCATTTTAAGTTGTCTAAAAGTTCATGTTATGCGTTGACGCATACCTTGTTCCGGTCGACGCATGGTTGTGTAATTTGCATAAGTTTTTATCCGGGTCAGCTCAGGTCGACCCTGTTTCCTGCATAGGTCGACCGTTCGCTGTTTTATGTCATTTTTATGTTAAATCAACTAATTTTGTGAAGTGGTTTTAGTTGTTATGACAGTTTTGTTTGGTATATAAGTTTAGATGCTTGTTTCACTTCACAATATTGAGAAAAACAAGAAAAGTGAAATAGGTGTCGATTCGGTTCTCATCATCTTCATTCTCTTCATAGCATACCACAACAATTACACATAATAATCTTTGTTGTGCATTATGCATTGTTAGAGGTGATAACGTTGGAAGCCGAAGATTTGGTAATCCGGTTCGGGTTGAGGAATCGACAGGTTTTTCTTGAATAAAACCTCTAGGGTTTTGTCCTCCAAGATTATATGAATTTGGGGGTTTTTGCACAATTCGTCTCAACACATATTCAGCCGAGTGAAGGTAATCGAGGAGCGGTGGGTTCCATTGATTTAGTAACGGTAAACGGAGGATTGTGAAGGAGAGTTTAGGGTTCGACAGCGGGTGATTGAAATCAGCCGGGCCAGATTTTGAAAACGGAAGGTTGTTCAAAGATAGTGCCATAATCGGAGGTTTATTCACAAGTTGTCGAAGTACTTGATTCGACTCGAATCAAGGGGCAAAAAGAGATAGTATATACAACAATAAGAGTGTTTGTGTGTTTTATTTCTATTCACTTCTTGTATAAAATTTCAACAACAGGTTAAATCTATATATTAACAGGTCTCAATTCTATTATTGGAATTGAGGGCAGGCGTACCCCGAGTGAGGACGACGGGGAAACTGCCTCAACAAATCATTGTGTCTTTTGCCTTACGTTTTATATTGCTTAATATTCATGGTTTTAGTGCAAACAATTATATCAATCTAGGTCTGATTTTGAGTAGTGCAAAACTGATTTTGAATCTAGTACAATCATTGATTGTAAAAGGAAACTTGAGCAACCCACTCAAAGAAGAACTCACTTGTAGTGCTCTGCACGCCAAGTGTTTGATAAATTGTATGAATCAACTGCCTTGTGTGGTGTCCTTTCATTGTGTTAACATTTTTAAGGCATTGAAACTAGTCACACCATATAGTGAGCTGAATCAAATTGATAGTGTGATTAACGTAGTGATTCTCATATTTCGTTATCGGATTCCATAAGGCTTAAACGCATATCCGATTTTCTAGTAACCGTTCGTTTTAGACGGTATAAATTCCTCGGCCTCTTCTGCAAATTAAACAATTAAAAAAAACAATTGTATTGGTAGCGCCGACTCTTTTAAGCAAATGATCTATTCAACCCCCCCCCCCCCCTTCTAGATCTGCACCATCGTCTAACAGTTATGAATCCTTCGACTGAGCCCTCTGTGCACACTAATGGAGGATTCCCATGAGGACCCATTGATCGGTTTGTGCTTACAGAGTATGTTGAGCATGTGGCCTTACGATTATGGTAGGGCGAGGTATATGACTTTTATGTTTAATTTTAATTTTTGTTTATGTATTTTTTTCATAATTAAGTATCAACTAATTTGTTTATATTTTGTTGTCCCAAAAGCGACCCACACTAAAGATCACATCTCAAGGGTCGAAGAAGAAGCGCTTCCCAAAAATTTCGATGCCCGAGCAAGTCAGACGGATTATACAGAACTTCGAGCTGCTTAATTTCGTCCACTGCTCACTCACCATGCTGGACGCTCCATTGCTTAGTGTCTTTGTTGAGAGGTGGCACAAGGAGACATCATAATTTCGTCTTTCGTTCGAGAAGATGACTGTCATTCTGGATGATGTCTCTGCATTGTTCCATCTCCCTATCGACGACAGATTCTGGATGGCTTGGATTCTTAGCGTGACCACCGCTTATCAGGTTGTGTCACATGATTTGAGTTTGTCTGAGCCGGAGGAGCAGAAGGAGTTTGGTGAGACCAGGCGTGTGCACCTTCGCATGCATTGACTTCGGAAGATATACGACCAACTTGTAGTTGATGGGAGGTATGAGGTTGCCGCTAGGGCATACACGCTACATATAGTAGCCTGTACACTCTTTGCGGACAAGTTTGGTACTTATGTTGATGTTTGATACATGTGCCTCTTCAGTAGCCTCGGGGACACTAGTTGGGCTTGGGATTGTGTTGCGTCGACCCAGTTGTATACAATCCTTGGAGTGGCGACGGTCTTTGAGACCAGACAACTTGCTGGCTATTTGAGTCCGTTACAGGTATACTTGAAATTATTATATGTTGTTGTTTTCATATTTATTTTTTACGAATGTCATTTCTAAATTATTATTTGTTGTATTTGTGTTCTGATTTCAGTGCTGGATATACGAGCATTTCCCTACCATTTGTGACAAAAGGGTGCAACATAGCGAGGTGGGGGCCCCACGGGCAAAGAGGTGGAAGGGAAGACAGGCACATTCTGGTGGTGTTGCTGAGTATATGAGGAGGCTCGATGCTCTTGCTGTAGATGATGTCATCCAGACACCATACACTAGTCATAGAGTCCACCATGAGTTCGAGGAGTCATCGTTATATTCAGGTTACATGCGGTGGGAGACCATGGTTGTGAGACACTTGTCCGAGAGGTCATTGCTCAACAGAAATCAAGCGGTCATTGCTCAACACCCCTCGCAGTGTGAGGATGGTTACTTAGAGTTATACCTCACTGTATCACACCCTCACATCACCCCACCCCCAGGTGATGATGGGTCTTCTGATGATCGAATACTTGTTAATGACGTCTCGCCGCCGCCTTCTCCAGTAGATCACGCCGATGACCAGCAACGCCTCTAGATGATTGCAGTGATTATGGATAACCTCATGGGTTTGGTAAACCCAGATGGGGAGGTATATACTGGATTAGTTTTGGCTGCACACATAGCCCGTGGCCTATTTAGATACATTTTGTATTTGTATATTATTCCGACATCTTTATCATAACACTTTATAAACTAATATTAGTGATCTTCCTTAAATTATAGTGTGAACGTTAACTAACATCCGACAATAATTTTCATAACTTAAACAGAAAACACTTAATATTACAATATGATTAACAAATAAGAAAAACCTAAACACTACCAGACATTTTAGTTTCAGCATATTGTAAATTATCGAGTTTCAGCATCTTCATTATGTCATAAACAGATCTTGACAGTTTCAGCATCTTCATTATGTCATAAACAGATCTTGACAGTTTCACATCTAACTGATCGGCCCCTTTGTTATCCTACCGTGAAATGTTCTCCACATTTTCTTCACATCTTCGACGGTCTTCAACTCAATAAGGTTGTATTGCACCCTCTCATTTGTATCAATTCAATCTTTACGAAACTCGATCTTTTTCACCTTTCTATTATCGCTATCAAGCAACAATTCATTCAACTTCTACGTCAGGCCGGCAAAAGATGTTGTGTCATCGAGAAGCTTGAACTATACAGGAGGAAAAGCTCAATTAAAGTACACTTCTGACTTAATAAAAATTAAATAAGAGGCATATTTTGAGATGTATTTATCAACAACAAGTGACTCATATTTATACAACTTTAAATCTATTCTGAACCACACAAATTGTCAATGCAATCGCAGCCACACAAAACTGTCGGCGAAATCCTAATCATTCAAAAAAATCCTAAAAATACAACTACACCTACTGGCAATTTCATACAAAAATTTGATGTATTTTTCATCTAAGAACAATTTTAACATTATAAAATAATGAGATGTGCCAAATTTAATTTAGGGGATGACATATTAAATTCTCTACACTACTAGAAGGTTTGTAATTTTTGCCTGGCCCACCCTTGATATTTTATCATCACATTAAACTCTAATAAAAGAAAATCAAATAAGCCTTTGAAAGTTGCAACTTCATTTTCCGTCAAAGATCTGGATTTGTTGCACTACTTTCTGGGTGTTGAAGTTATTTCAAGTTCCACAGGCTTATTCCTCCACCAACATAAACACATTGCAGAACTTCTTGAAAGAACCAAAATGATTTATTCCAGGCTTGTTGTCACTTCATTATCAATTTAGGACTTCCTTAACTAAATATGTTGTTCTTTTCCATTGGCTTGATGTGCACAAAAATAACACACCTCTTAAGAAATATACAAAATAGGCAACACAATTATTAAAAAACAAAATTAATTAACTTCTAAAAGTACGATGGCGTCTAACTTTGAGATATTAAATTAACAGAAATATTTTCAGAAAATGCAAAAACGTTTACAGGGATATACTACTTGGTACTTTCTCACTTGAGAAAAAAGTGACAACAAGCTAATCTACTTTCTTCCTTACTGTGTTAAAAGGACCTACAATCATTCCTCAGTACTCCAAAACTGTTGGTGCGGGATAACCGGATTGCGTCCCCAACAAGGATGACTTATACAGTTTAGAAACCAAAGAAACCAAGTTCACTGGCTCTCTCCTTCTCAAATGTCTCAAAGTACTGATAGATGATTGTTACGGCAAGTAGGATTCCGGTTCCTGACCCAATTGCCCCCATAAAATCTGCCAATACTGTCAGGGCACCAATACACATTCCTCCAAATGCTGCAGCAGTGGGAATGTATCGGTTAAGCTCTTTCTGCAAGTTTGATTCCCGATGGCCAGGCATAACCATTTGTTGTTCCTGGAGTTGAAAAATGATGATTATCACATGCAAAATTTTAGAAAGCAATGAAACCAAGTTATTTAATCCAAATAAATTTTAAATAAATGCATGTCAAATCTGTACCTTCAACTGCTTGGCAACATCCCTAGCAGATGAACCAGAGACTTCAATCCAAGTTTTGGAGAACAAGGCACAGGCTGACAGCATAAATACCAGGTAGAACAATGCATGGAAAGGATTGGCTGCCATATCAGCTAAGCTGTAAAACAAATCAGTTAAACAAAATTAATAGTTTGGACAGCAAGTAGCATTAAACATATAACTGATTGAAGTTTTATATCAAGCTCAGCAAAGAATTTAATACATTTATAATTATAAAACCATTTGAAAGGAAACACCTTATTACCTGGATGGTGCAGTTATATAGTATGCAATGCCACCAACAGGAATAGAGTGACCGCCGCCATATTCAGATTCCTTCCATTTTCCCAACAGATCCACAATGAAGTTTCCGGCATACTTTCTGTGTAGCAGCTGTCAATTCCAGACAAATTCATATTGTTAAAAAATAGGAAAATACTTACCCCAATTTGTAACATACCATGATAAAACTTCATTACCTGGGAAAGGAAGTAGAGATTGGAAACAAGGGCAGACTGAAGAATAATGGGCATGTTGGAGGTGTAAAACAGCTTGATTGGATATGAGCCCTGCTGTCCACGAGCATTCTTTGACCTTACAGGCAAAACCACACGGAAACCTTGGAAGTATATCACAATTAGGAAGATCAGGACAGTAGCCAGCAGATTTGTGACATTAGGAAGATTCTGCCGATAAAATGCTTCCCGGAGAGCACGAACCTTGTCTGTTCTAGTTATCAACAAGTGGAATAGAGCAATTACAGCACCCTCAAACTCAGCTCCTCGGCCACTATTAATGGTAGTGGGACTAAATGCTTTCCATATAATGTTTTCACTGCATCAAAATGAGTCAATTCCTCAGTTTTTTTAATAGAAGGGCATAGACTTTGTTTATAAAACAAAAACGCATAATCCATAAAAAAAATTTTAATATAGAAAAGGAAAAAAGGCACCACAAAATTTACCAGATATTAGTGGCAATGAATAGAGAAATTCCAGATCCCAAACCATAACCTTTTTGAAGGAGCTCATCTAAACATATGACAATGATACCAGCAAAAAAGAGCTGGAGGATGATGAGGATGGCATTTCCCACTCCAAGTTGGCCCACACTACCATACATCCCAGAAAGAACATAAGCAACGGCCTCTCCAACAGCTATCAAGATGCCAAGAAGTTTCTGGGCACCATTTCTGGGAGCAAAGAGGAATTTATCTCATTAGTCAATCTACTTGTGTATGAGAACAAACAAAATTTACCATAATATGGCAGTGCAAAGCTAGGAAATACGTAGATTCAGTGAGGAATTGAGGAATTGCCACCCGCACCCATAACACAGATATTTTATTTTTTCACACCATAAAAAGAAGCATGTATAACAAATTCAGAGCTACCAATGAAATAATCTGAAATTTTCGGCCAACACAATGAGGAAAACATCAGATGTACTAGGAAAGGAAATAACATAATCAACAAATAAAATACTTACAAGAGAGCACGATCCTCCCTTACATTGTTGTCTACTTCAATGATCTTCGACCCAGCCAAAAGTTGCATCACCAATCCAGAAGTCACGATGGGGGTGATTCCAAGCTCCATAACAGTTCCACGGTTTGAAGCTAGGATAACACGCATCCAATAGAATGGATCAGCACCCGTAGTTGAGTGTATTCCATACAGAGGGAGCTGACTACACACCAGAAAAATGAACAGGGCGATCACAGTATATATGACCTTCTCTCTAAATGGCACTTTCCTATCAGCAGTCTGAACTTCAGGAAGGAATGGTAGAAAAGGTCTGACTAAGTGAAGCACCCTAAACCCACCTCCCATCTTACCAGATTAGACTAATTTAACCTGCATCAGAAATTCACAGTTCACAGTGCAAGAATAAGTAGATGCCATAGGTAGGAGAACGGGAAAAACTAATACTAAATCAACACCTCAGCATCCGTAAGAAAATTCATAAAGAACAAACATTATAATTAGAATTTAAGCATCAAATCAAACAGAGAAAAACAATGACAAAATCGAAATCAACAACATCACATTACAAAGCAAATTCTTCATTTTAAAAGTATAAAAATAGATCACTATCAGGTCCCAAAAATAGATCGCTATCAGGTCCCAACAAAATTCATGAAATAACGAAAACAGATTAATTATAAATCTCGGTGTTCGTGTATTGAATAATAAAGACTATGTGATCCAACAAACCTTTATCTATGGTTTAAAAACAATGAAAAGAGAGAAAAAAACATTGACAATCACATAACATCAACATTCATCATGAAACCGAAATTAGAAATCATGCAACCAAAATCGTCCTCGATCCAGCTAGATACGTATCAATCCATTCAAAAACATCCACGCAAGAAAAAAATAAATCCCAACATACACGCGATTTCAAAACCCTTATCGCATGCCACAGATCAACAATTTTCCATCAACACGTTCATCAAGACAAAGATCACGGATAAATTTTACAGCGGTAATTCACATGCAATCGTGAACAACGGCATAAAACGAATAACAGAAAACAAAACGGAGATCGAACGATCGCATACATAAACACAGATCTGTAAACCTGAGAATATGTGAAAGGAATCAAAGAGAAAGAGATTTACCTAACGATTGAGAATAGGGATTGCGATTGCGTGGAGTGCAGAAATGGAGAAATTAGGCTCCGCTGCTGCGGTGAGAACTGGATCTAAGAACCAGAGCTTCTTCCAATTCAAATAGGAGAAATGGTGGAGGAGATCTTTACGTGGGTTAACAAATAGTATTACGCCGCGTGGATTTTTAATCTGATGTGGCAACACTAACCAATTTTGACCTCTTTCTTGTTTTTATTTTTAACGCGTTAATTTATTTTCAGAGCCGGATTTATTTATTTTTCGGAATTTCAGATTGATAAAGCCACAAATATCCGATAGATTTTCGCTCTTGAAATTTTAGGTGGATAAATCTACTGGTGATTTTGTGAATTTTTTTTTAAAATAATCAAGTATTCAATAAAATATATCAGAAAAAACAAAGTTTTAAATGCAAGCCCATTCGCCAATTAGTGTGGAGACTTGTTCTAGAATTTTAGGGTTTTGCTTTCCATTTTTTTTTATTGTTTTAAGTTATATTATTAACATTTTAATTTTGAATAATGTTTTAAATGACTTTATTACATTATTTTCCTAATCTTTATTATATTTTAATTATTTTTTTATAGTTTATGTAAATATTTTAATACATTAAACTTGTTATTAAATTTATAAATATTAATAAATATTTTAATTATGTATTAATAAATATTTTTTTATTAAATTATAGTTGAAGTTTTTTATAATTAATTGAAATTTAAATAACCTTAAAAAAATATAGAAATGTTAAAAATATGAAATTATATTAATGAAAATTACAATTACAGTTACAATTGAACAAAAGAAAAAAACTAATGCTCGACTCTATCCAAGTGACCACCGGTGCCACATTGCGGGGGATGCGCGTTGCGACGAGGTTGTTGTGGTGTGTCCGGTCTCTGTGTATTGAGTTGTGGAGGAGGGTATGGTTGGGACGGGCCCGGCGTATCAGATAGATTTTGCATCATTTGGCCCCAATAGCCAGGAGGTCCACTGTCAACGGCGCTTCCGTAGTCAAGCCCAATGCCCATGTTTTCGAAGGATTGTCGGGGAGGTTGGGTGGAGTGTGGACGGTATGGTTGTCCGAATGTGTACATGGAATTAGGTTGGTCTATGTGTGTTGGTTGTTGCGGTGTGTGGTAGTCAAATAGTGAATAGTTGGGGGGGTTGTTTGAGGGGTAGTTGGAGGGGGTAGGGTCGAATGTGTTGTATGGGTTATAGGCGGAGTGGGTAGGGTCAAATGACGTATCAGGGCTATATTAGTATGGTGGTTGAGGCTGGGTGGGTTGCATATACGGGTCATGGTAAGGTTGTTGATGGGGGTTATTGTATGGCTGATTTTGGGCATTGAACTGTTCTTGTATGTTAGACGAAGATGCACGTTGCCTTGGGTCAACCAAATAAGCTGGCTCCGATAGAAATGACTGAGATGTCGTGACAGACCTAAACCAAGTCATATATTGAAGACTTGGCCTAGCCCCGTGCACAATACGGTCGGTCAAGACGTGCTGCATTCTTCTCTTCCAGTGTGTACACAACTCCTTTGCAAACTCCTTCCAATGACTCACATTCTATTGTGAGTCCACCCGCTTTTGATGCCACTGCCCCAAGTCTACCGGAGCATCTGGAATATCCTGATGCATCCCAAACTATAGCTTGACCCGGTCACTTTGGTGCATCTCCACCGTAGTGAACCTAATTATAGGTGTTCTCGATGTCCACACAGCAGCATCATTGTGGTCGGCCTGGTGGTCTAGACCCTCGTACGACATCCATACAAACTACAAAAAAGGTGAATACATTTAGTCAGACAGAGATAGAAAAGTTTATTCATATAATTTAGATAGATTGGAGGTAAATAACTTACATCATCTGCCCCAAGGTGGTCAATGAGGTTGCGGTATTGAATTATAGAGTGTCTGGGACATCTCTGATAATTCATCCCTGGAACAGACCACCTAAAAAAAAGAAACAGATATAAGTTAGCATCTAAAACAATAAGGAACAAATTTGGTTGTCAAATAATCTTGAAAAGAAACTTACTTGTTGGCGAACAGGAATGTAAAAGGATTCTGGTTTATTGGAGCAAGTGTCGGCATCCTAGACCAACCCCACGCTTGTAGGAGATAAGCACAGCCATAAAAAGTACATGAATTTTTTTTTGAAGTTTTGCAAAGTGCGCTATACAGATGGGCGAGGACAGCTGATCCCCAACTATATTCGTGCACTTTGTTTATATTTTGTAGTAAGGGCAAATACATAATATTTATGGTATTTCCAGTTCCCTCTAGAAATAAAAAGTGCCCGAATAAAATCATAATATAGCACCGAGTTTTGAGTATTTTGTGATACTCGCCGCTATCATCACTTAGAACAATACTGTTGTATTATTCTCTAAGGTATTTTAAATTTATCCCCTGACCCCTCGGGCAGCCCTCGCTATCTGCCTGAGGTGCGTCCGTACAAAGTGGAGCGCCCAATAAATCTTCGCAAAGTCGGTCAGGGACACCGACTTTGCCGTTAACGGCCTTACCATCAATGTGTAGGCCGAGCAACATGTAGACATCCTGAAGAGTCACAGTACACTCACCAAAAGGAAGGTGAAGTGTATGTGTCTCTGGTCTCCAGCGCTCTAACAACGCTAGAATAAATTTCATGTCGAGTGAGTAAGATTTGATTTTGATCAAATCACCAAACTCAAAATTATGAAGGTACTCCGTAATGAGCGGGTAATGTGGTATGTAATCATGCACACGACACTGAAACCTTGATACATCCTGCAAAATAATTAATGTTACGTTAGACAAGAAGTAAAATAACTAACATTTTATTAGACAAGACTGTAAACATAGACAAGAACAAAAGACTTACAAACTCGGCGATGTTTTCAGGCGTCCCTCTGTGCGAGTCACCCATGGTGAGTAAAGACATTGTCGTGTGGGATGTTGAGATGTAGAAAGTTTAAGAGTTAGAAAGTTTGAGAGTTAGAAAGTTTGAGAGTCTGAGAGTTTGAGAGTTTGAGTGTTTAAGAGTATGAGAGTTTAATTGTGAGCAGAGTTTGCTGGGCAAAGACCCTATATTTATTAACGCATGCAGGACAAGTGCCTTTACTCATCAAGCAGGTTGCTTGCAGTATCACATGTGAAAAGCATATTCCTTCATTGTCCCGTCTCATCAAGCAGACTGTATGTCATTGATTGCATATTAAAGTTGATTCCTTCATTGACTGCATGCAGAAAGAGAATCTTGTATGCCTGCATGGTTACTGTAGGCATGCAGGTCACATGTGAATGGCAGAGTTTTGCAATGTCTTGTCTTATCAAGCATGCTGCAATATCATTGACTCACCAAAGGCATTGATTATGATAAACGGATGTGTGACAATGTAAACACAAGTGTCCTTATACATTTAATCTTTTACCAGGCATGTTGCACATAGCTTTAATTGAAATACATATAAATCAATAAATGTACCGTCTTACCAAGCATAATGCATGTGTTTTATTTATTATAGTTTGTTTAGTGTAATACGTATCCAAATAAATGTAATTTATGCAGCATGCAGGGTCACATGTAGTTTTGGCAGATTCTTGCACTGTCCCGTCTTATCAAGCATGTTGTATGCAGAAAGAGAATCATTATAGGCATGCAGGTCACATGTGAATGGCAGAGTTTTGCACTGTCTTGTCTTATCAAGCATGCTGCAATATCATTGACTCACCAAAGACATTGATTGTGGTAAACGGATGTGTGACAATGTAAACACAAGTGTCATTATACATTTAATCGTTTACCAGGCATGATGTACATAACTTTAATTGAAATACATATAAATCAATAAATGTACCGTCTTACCAAGCATAATGCATGTGTTTTATTTATTATAGTTTGTTTAGTGTAATACGTATCCAAATAAATGTAATTTATGCAGCATGCAGGGTCACATGTAGTTTTGGCATATTCTTGCACTGTTCCGTCTTATCAAGCATGTTGGTGGCAGAAAGAGAATCACTGTAGGCATGCAGGTCACATGTGAATGGCAGAGTTTTGCACTGTCTTATCTTATCAAGCATGCTGTAATATCATTGACTCACCAAAGGCATTGATTGTGGTAAACGGATGCGTGACAATGTACACACAAGTGTCCTTATACATTTAATCGTTTACCAGGCATGCTGCACTTTAAATAATCAAACACTC